GTCCCGTTGCGCTATGCAGGCCATGCAGGGTGCAGGCAACCCGCAGCGCGACATGTCGCCCCACTCGCACCACGTTTGCTTTATATTTCTGCGGTTGGAGACAATCAAACCACCACCGTGATGCGCCCATGGGGCGGTCTCGGTGCGAGTGTGGCTATTGAGGCGGCGCCACACGCATCGGCTGCGCAGGGGGCAACGGCGGAGAGCAGCCCATACACTTATCGCGCCGACGACGTGGAGCGACCGCCAATGAAGTCGCCGAGCGCCCTGTCTCTCTCTCGCTCTCGCCGCTCGCTCTCTCCGCCCTCTCCTCCACCGCGGTAGAGAGTATAATGATAAGTATCTGCGCACACAAACGCACGCACGCACGAGTGTGCATATCTTCCCGCGCTATTGTCCAGCGCAGCGTCTCTCTCCTCGTGCCGCGCCGCCCACCAGGAGGGCGCCGCCCCGCCCCGCCTCGCCTCGCTCCGCCCCGCCCCGCCGCGGGTCCGCTGTCTCTAACGCAGGGCGGGGCGCGGCTCGCGGCCCATAAGTGCTGGGCCCAGGAGTGGGTCATAATTAACCACGCGGCACCCAGGCGCCCGAATGAATACGTGTGTCGGAGAGGGACAGAGAGGGGGAGAGCGAGGGAGAGGGAGAGAGAGAGAGAGAGAGGCAGGCAGACAGGCATAGAGGTGTGACCCGCGGAGGGACGAAGAACGTGCGGTCCCCCACCTTTGATTGTCTCCAGGCCAGACGGCCAGACGTTACAAATCTAGACCCAGGTGACCTCAAGTGTCGCTGCCAAGCCCTCTGCCGCCAGCCCAGGGCCCGACTCGCGGCCCGGCCGACGCTTGAAGTCGACGGTGCAGTACATGGCAGTCGCCACGTCCATACATTTCGACCCCAAACTTTTTATACTATCTCAGAGTAAGGCATTTAAAGTAATCGTTTCTCTTTTTGTTCAATTCTAGACTCATCGTCAAAACGATGCTTCAAGTTAAGAGCGAGATGTGCCAAACACGTACAGTAGGAGCTTCCGTACGTATTGGCACTCACTCAGGAGAAGGGCCTTTTGGTTGCACTGAGTGCCCCAAGAAATTTACTCAAAGTGGTCATCTGCGCTCACACCTCAGGACGCACTCAGGAGAGAAGCCTTATGGCTGCACCGTGTGCCAGAAGAAATTCACTGAAAGTGGCCATCTGCGTTCACACATGCGAACACACACGGGAGAGAAGCCTTTTGGGTGCACCGTGTGCCCGAAGAAATTTGCTAAAAGTTGTTCTCTGCGTTCACACATGCGAACACACACGAGAGAGCAGCCTTATGGCTGCACCATGTGTCAGAAGAAATTCTCTTACAGTAGTACTCTGCGTTCACACTTACAAACGCACGCGGGAGAGAACGAGGGAGAGAAGCTCTTTGAGTGCAGTGTGTGCCCGAAGAAATTTACTAAAAGTAGTTCTCTGCGTTCACACATGCGAACACACACGGGAGAGAAGCCTTACGGCTGCACCGTGTGCCCGAAGAAATTTACTCAAAGTGGTACTCTGCGTTCA